AATCACGTATTTATTGAGATAAAATTTCCTCATGTATCTAATATTTTTTGATATCATAAAAAATGAAATTAATTATATTTTTTTATATGTAGCATAAGTCTGCATTCTCTCAAACATATCTATTATTAAATTGGTTTTAAAATAATTTAAATGTATAATTTTATTAATCAATTCTCAAGTATTTATATTGTGAAACTTTGCTCCTTGTAGACTTAATAAAATTAAAAAATGAAGTCTAGAAATAATAAAATATTCATATTTTTAGCTGCACTTTCACTTATCTTATTACGAAATAAAACATTTCAGATTTCGAGGACAGGATCATAAATAAAAGAAAAGAATCATAAATAAAAGATTTACAAGTATATATCAATGTAGTAAAAGTGATCAAATTGTTATAAAAACATTTATATTATAATTTTGAATTCTCCATTTTCGTGAAATCAAATAAAAAATCGTTTATATTTTTTTTCAAATAACATGCTTGACGAATATTTAAAGTTCAAAGGTTAGAAAAATAGCGAGCATCTTTTTAACCTAACCTAACCTTGCGATTGACTCTTATAATCTCTCATATCTTTGTGGTTTCATCGGCTTTTGTTAAAAACATGACCAGCAACTATAACGCAACATCAAATAATGAATTGCCTGTGATTGGCGTATACTTTCGGATCGGCAAATCCGATTGGCGATTGATCCCTTTTAATTAATATATTAGTTTATATTAAAACGAGAAATTCCCTTATATGTACTATATATAAATTTTTATATTTATTCTTTATAGAAATTCAATGTTTTATTGTAATTCAAATATTTTTTATTGTTCAAAGTTAGAGTGAAACATTTAAAGTGTTACAAGCTATGTAATTACATATTATTTTTGAAAAGCAGCTATGTTTTTTTACATCAATTAATTCATTATTCTATGCATAAAGGTATCAAAGTATATTTAAAAATCAATAATTATACGAGGTATTTTATATTTTATATCGAAATGTACCAAAATAAAATTAATCATTTACGGGATATGTATAATATATCCCGTAAATGATTAATTTTTTGATATTTCTTAATACTTTTGTACACAAATTAGTAAAGGAATAATATTACATAAAAAAATATATCATTCTATTAAAAAAAAGTGGAGATAATTTGCATGACTTTGAAAAATCGATTAAAAAAATTGATTTTATTATTTATTCCTTTTGAAATCGTACACAACTTTTGTCTGAACGTATTTTTAATTTGATACATATTTTCAGAGATAACAACTTGTAATACTTTAAATGTCCAACTCTGCATACTACTAAAAGCAAACTGAACTAAACTTAAAATTTTTATCAGGAAAGCCTATATTTTATTAAATAAAGATTATTATATATTTTTGTACATGAAAATGTATAATTTTATAAATCATTCTTAAATTTCTCGTAGGTATACTCGTGACCGAGATCAAAGTAGTAGGGGTCGTCGTGGTGGTACTGCGAAGATAGGAACAAGTACTGGCAGAGGCGGCATCGATAATGGACGTGGTGGTAGCAGGTTTGGCACACCTAGAGGAAACTCCAATAATTTACGAGGGGGATTGAAAGGAAAGCAACCTGGTGGCGGTCTAAGGAAAGTAAACTGGGATCTTTGTACTTTGGAACCAATACGCAAAGATTTTTATATAGAGCATCTCGCAGTCAGGAACAGGTATTAATTAATACTATTAGTGATATTAAATTTAATACAAACAATAAATGTGTTCACGATTTTAATTCTGAGTTAGATCTAACGAAGAAGTATATCATTTTCGAGAGAATGCAGAAATAACTGTGAAGGGTGACAATATTCCTAATCCCATACAATATTTCGAGGAGGGAAACTTTCCACCTTACGTAATGGAAGGTATTCGTAGAGAAGGATATTCGCAGCCTACTCCAATTCAAGCTCAAGGATGGCCTATTGCACTTAGCGGTAGAGATCTTGTTGCAATCGCTCAAACTGGCTCTGGAAAGACACTTGGAGTAAGCAGAATTAGAAGTGTATTTAATACAATAATAAATAGATATATAATATAATAATAAATATGTAACCAATGAGAGAATTTTAGAATATTTTATTCGTTTCCTATTCCCATTTGTCCAATTATTTAAATAGCTTTACATATATACTTTATATAATTTCAATAAAATGTTGATTAATATATCGGGGAAATATATGATTTAAAGATGTATTTGTATATGTAAGATGTGCTTGTATTAGATTATTTTCTTTTCTTTTTTCAGTATATTTTACCTGCAATTGTGCATATCATACATCAACCGCGCATAAATACTGGTGATGGACCAATTGTCTTGATCTTAGCTCCAACCAGAGAATTAGCTCAACAAATTCAAGAAGTAGCTAATAGCTTTGGAGAGACTGCGGCTGTAAGAAATACGTGTATTTTTGGCGGGGCTCCAAAAGGACCACAGGCACACGATTTGGAGAGAGGCATTGAAATATGCATTGCTACTCCAGGTAGACTTATAGATTTCTTAGAAAAAGGAACTACAAACTTATGTAGGTATGTATATCTATAAAAATTCACTGATAAATCAAAATTACCTGTAAATTAATAATATGAATTTACACAATTTAAATATTCTTTTACTCATTAATTTTAGGTGTACGTATCTAGTTCTCGATGAAGCCGATCGTATGCTTGATATGGGATTCGAACCTCAGATACGAAAAATAATTGAACAGATACGCCCCGATAGGCAAGTGCTAATGTGGTCGGCGACATGGCCTAAGGAAGTTCGCGCACTTGCAGAGGATTTCTTGACAGATTACGTTCATCTCAATATCGGTTCTTTGACTCTGTCGGCCAATCATAACATTACTCAAATCATTGATGTTTGTCAAGAGTATGAGAAAGATTCGAAGCTGTATAGATTGCTTCAAGAGATTGATACTGAAAAAGAGAATAAGACTATTATATTTGTGGAAACTAAACGTAAAGTGGATGATCTCACGAGAAATATTAGACGCGAAGGCTGGCAAGCTGTATGTATTCACGGTGATAAAAACCAGCAGGAAAGGGATCATGTGTTACAAGAATTCCGCAGTGGAAGAGCGCCGATTTTAGTCGCAACTGATGTAGCTGCTAGAGGCTTGGGTATGTAAAATTCTATTCAGCAATGTTTTGGTGTAGGTGAGACACTAAGAAAGTCACGGTGAAACTGGGTATTGGCAACACTTATTGGATTAGCCGGATGATGCGTTGTTAGAGTGAGGCCAGCCGACAGCTGTGTATGTAGCAATGTGTGATGCATTGGAACTTTTTTATCATATTCGTCTCGATTGTATTATAGAGTCATGTAAAAATTGACGTTTTTCTGATTTATGCCTTTTTCATTCTGCAATTTTTTTGTTCTGCGATTACAGATGTGTCAAACAATCTTTTTTAATAATTTGTTGATTTATTGTTTTTTTATGTAAATATTTTTTTTAATTGTAATCCCATTTTTGTTGTATATAAATCTGTATTTTTTATTTTCATATAAAAGTCATAGAAACGTTTTTGCTACATACTTCAGTGTTTAATTTATAACTGTATTAATTGGTATATGACTAGTTTCAGTGTTGAAGAGTTATTAATTTTGATAATGATATACATGTAAGATCAAGGTTCTGAAAATGCACACAAGCTACCACTAAGTCTGTCTGCTTTTCTTTTTCAGAGGCACAGAGTACCCTAACTCAACGCGGTGTACTGCCAGTATTGGGCAGACACAGTGATTATTTTATTTTCCTTTGCTTATATATTATAACAATTTCTAAATGGAAAGCTAGATTTATATGCGATTTAACTTCTGTCTTAATTTTCTCATTATGGAATAGCAAAGTAGATTTTATAATGACCATTAATGCACTAATCAATCATCAATGCATTAAATAACATGACAATCACAATATATGTGTATTCAAATATTACTTGTAGTAATTAAAAAATGAAATGGGTTTTCTTTAAGCAAGTTTTAAATATGTGAATTAATAATTATAAACATATAAATTTGTAATTGCAATATGAAAACTTAAAAAGTGCAATTGCTAAATTTGTTATCCAGTGCCTCTAACTTTAACTTTAAGAAATGATCATACACAGTGCCTATCAAAACTAATGCACTCAGGCTTAAACCCTAAATTGCTGCCTCTATCCCAAACCAGACACAACCGCTGTGTCTGTCTAATCTCTAGGCCGCCAATATATTACGATAAGAAAGCAATCAGAATTGCCCCACTTTAAAAGCAAACGGGGTCGTTCTTGCTGATTTCACATCGGAATTTTCAAACAAAAGGTGGGTATCTAAATCTATTTTATTGACTGAATTTATCTGGAAATTAATGTCAATAATTTTTTGCCAAAATGTAGCATTTTATTCAATATGCATTTAAGTTATTTAACACTTATTATTATAAATATACTTTTCTTTTATTCTTTCAAACATCATTCTTTATTAATATCTGACAATATCTATATAATATATTAATGCATGAATACACATGCATTAATATATTATAAGTAATATGTTTAATTAAAGGAATATCAATTTAGTTTTTGAATTCAGAAAATTTATAAAATAATACACACACACACACACACACACACATATACACACACATATATATATACATATACATATATATATAATAATTTTATATATATAAATTACAGATTTTTTTTTAGTTTTATCGAGATTTTGTTTTATATGACCAATATAATATTATTAATAACATTTTTCGTGACTACTACTTCACAGATGTGGATGATGTGAAATACGTGATAAATTTCGATTATCCATCTTCATCGGAGGATTATATACACAGAATTGGTCGAACTGGACGTAGGCGACAGACCGGAACGGCATATGCGTTTTTCACAAGTCACAACATGAAACATGCTGGAGACTTGATAGAAGTTTTACGAGAGGCGGGACAGAATGTCAATCCGCGTCTCAGTGAAATGGCAGAGATGGCCAAAGCGGGAAATTTCAGCAGAAGTATGTTTTAGTTTAGAATTAAATATCCAAATTTATATTTTATTCTAATGGTTCTTACACAAAGTAAACTTTGCTCTCACTCTAATAGTATATCATAAATAGGAAAGAAAAAGTTCATTTTATGGGCACTTGATAGTAGTGATCATAATCGCTAGAAGTTCACTCGATTATTTCATATATTTTATATGATAAGGTGTGAAACGTTTCGGCGGTTCTTCTGGTGTTAATGGCGTTGAAAGGAGTAATAACCGAAGAAGCAATAATGATAGAGGAAGAGGTGGTTCAGCAAGAGGAAGAGGCCTTGCTCGCAGCGGGACCTCTTATCAGCCTTCTTCAAATGTTTATTCGGGAACGGATTATAGTAATTATAGTAATTATAATATGAAACAGAATACTTCTTTGAGCCAGAATACGACATATGGATATAGCACGCAAAGAAGTTATGGACAAGGAAGTATGCCTCAAAATTATGGAGGTGGCGATAATTACGGAAGTGGTTATCCATACAGAAGCACAACTTATTAATTCTGTTTTTAATGGATGATTGATAGCACGTATTAATTCTGTTTTTTAATAGATAATTGATAGCACGTAACAATTCAATGGTTAGGTAAAATGTGTCACGTTTAGTTATAGTGAGATTCGACAGGATGCAGATAAGAGCCTGTTAAAGTTATAATAGATGAAAAAAAGATATATACAGAAAATGAATATAAGTTATGCAGCATAATAATAAAAATATCGATATGATAGTATACATTACATTCTATATCGTACATCAAGTGAACAACGATTAATTGACTTTGCAACTCAACAATTGTAAGTTTATTGAATGTAATGTCCATCCGTTTGCATATATGTCGAATTTGCACTGAGTAAACCAAAGAAAACCAAAGAAACTTTGGCGCCACTTTAATGCAATTGTAATTTTATTTTGCAAGTTATTGTTATTTAAAATATATTAATTAATATTTATAAGAACAGAAGAATGTAAATTTCTATATTGGAATGCAATTATTCAAAAAAAGCTCGAGTATTTCTTTTTTTCTTTAAGCAGTTTTAAGCTCTATTTTATAATAATTAAATGTTATTTATAAGTTTTACGATATATTACAGAATTTTTTCTGCAAGCAGTATGTGTACATATATATATATATATATATATATATATATACATGCTGATTATACATCAATCTCGTTATTAACGTTTATAACGTATCATATTTTATTAATATTAGCGGATAAATAATCGTTTTATAAATTTTTATAAAAAAGGTTATTTATCCACTGTTATAAATAGTAGTGAAACAGTGAAAAATTACACGATATTTGCATCACACTCGTGTGCAATATTTAGATTAAAGATGTTTATATAACAACTTTAATTTTTTTTAATTTGAATTGTTTAATTTATTTCTATAGTATCTTATATATATTATTTTTAAGATAAAATCATTAAAAATTATTAGTCATTTAATTTTTATATCGATAATATTAACACAATTGCTATTTTATTTTATTTGACTGAATTGTTCAACGAAACGTTTTAAATTATAATATTAAATAACAGTCTCTCTAATTGTAACTTCCGATGAATTGTAGGGAACTATATGGGAATGTGATAAAAACTTGTCAATGAATTTGTTGGAAGAAAGTGCAATTGATAGATTATATAGATGTATTCGTTTTTCAACGGGACTGCGAAAGTTCTTCGCAAATGTGCTTTCTTGTAATAAATTTAATTGGATGTATAAGTAGATATTGATTAAAACCTGTCTAAATAAAATGACAAGGATTACACATATAATCCTTGTCATTTTAATTTATAATTGATTGCAAATAACCAATATGACACTTAGTGTCACATTATATAAATTATTTGACATGATAAATTATTTGGTAAAATATATGCTGAACCTTTTATTGATAAAACATTTATGTTTCTGGTGTATACACCAGAATTTATAATCTGGAGGCCCAGCAGTATCTCATATAATACAATTTACACACTACTACTTACTACTGATATATATAACCGAATTCGCTATTATATAAGTAATCTGCTGGGTAGAATTAGTCAATTATGTTTAATTATTTATAATATTGAAAATATTGAAAATTGATCAACAACTGTGTTTTTGTTTCATATCTGTAATTTCTCTTGCTATGGAATCTCTTAGGAAAGAAAATATTAATGTGTGTCATTTGTTGTGTGAGTCTGTGTTATAGAATTAATAAAATTAACTTTCGCTTTCTTGAAAGCAGTCGAGTTCTCCCCTGTTCTTAGCATGAGATATGCATTTCTGATACATATGAACTACTATTGAACATTCAACAAGAAAAATGAAGAATATCATTTCATAATAACTTTATTAATAAGATCTATTCAGATAAATTTTTAAAAAATTTTTAAATTATATACATTTATATGCATAAAGAAAGGCTAATAAAATATCTAACGTAACAATTAGTCTATTTTTCTGCAGCTTTTTGTCTGGATAGATTTTCAGCAGAAAAAGCAGTTTTGCAACTGTTGTAACTTTTCTTAATATTTCGATTTTTGTTCTTAATTCTTCACAATTGAATGTATTAACCGATTATATTTTACAGCAGTTGTAAAGTTATTTTTATGTTGAATATAGTCATCAATAATTAGTTTTTTATTGTCATATTGCTAAAATAATGTAGATAGCACGTGTAAAATCATTTAACGTAGTTAAGTAAAATGAATTTTTATTTATAGGTACTCAAATTAACTAGAAACATAACATTCCTCTGGTCCACCCATCCTGGTCCATTCTGGAATTTTTCCTAATTTTTTTTAAATAATATTGATTTGAAATAGTTTTTACAATCTTATTTTTCACGATTTTAAACTTGAAAAATTCTTTAAAAAAATAAAAATTTTAATAATTTCATGTGTCCTTTTTTAGCTTCAAAAAGATATATAATCCTATTTACGTGTTAAAAATTTTTTTTTAATTTCTGTTTCTTATGTTAATTATTAATAATATTATGTAAACACGTAATATTGAATGTGCCGATACTGCATTCAATTTCGACGCTCAACATATTACAAATAATGAATACTAGAGAATGCGACACTAAGAGCCTATTCTGCAATTCTTAACGACTATAATACCATTACATTGTCATTGCACAGGTTTTGTATATAGTAAAAGAGCTGCGCAACTACAAACTAAGTCGCACTATAATTTCGTTACAGTCGTTAAGAGTTACAAAATAGGAGTTACTCTAATGCTGCAAAAAGCATTTGTAGCATTAAGTAGATCGTGATAAAAAATAGAATGAAACTTAGTAACTTGCATTAATAAGTAAAATATTTACACACATTTATAAATTTATATCGTATTTAATTTAATAATTTACATCGCATGAACGTCGCAGTTAGACATCTATGGGTTTGAATTTGGCGCGATACATTTAGTTCCGCAGTATTTATAGCTAAAACGTGATGGCGCTGGAGATTGTCTAACTTGGCCTAACTTTCAGTTCCGGCGAAGAACGCCTTTTTTCAGGCTCCTTAATTTCTCCATCATACCGAATATCGAGAGAGAAGTTCAAAGTAGAAATATTTAGATTTCTCGATTCGGATACTTTCTACAAAAAGAAGTGCAAAATTCGAGGATCGTGACTGGTTTCTACTAGGAGGAACTACTTTTTGCCAGTCGCCATGATGCCGTGACGCCGACACCCTTCCTCCTTCCCGTCCCGTCACTACTGTTGCCTCGTTCCTTCAGCTGGCTGGTCTGATAACGGGTGAACGTGTTCTCGTCACCCGGTCCGGATTCTCGACCCTTATCGGTAACTACCAAGGAAATCGCACGCAGGACATATTCCCACCCCTTGCAATGTAAGTTCGCGCAAGACGACGCGAGATGAATTTCACTCTCGTCGCTTGTTTTCCGTTTAACGCTGCTACTTGTCCACCCTTGTACGCCATTTTGCGAACGGATCCTTTGTCGCGATCTCGGCGTGATCGCAATCGTGAGAATTCACAATGGAAATCGCGACGTCTCAAAATGGACTTTACCTGGATAATACTATGCGCGCGAAACATATAATTGTGTAGCTGAACGAAATTATTAGCGACTCGAAATCTGAAATTACCTTGCATGTATTCGAACGCGCGTCACGTTGGCAAAAAAATCGCGGAAGATTCCACTAGACGAGGCTTGCACGCGAAAGGATCTTTGAGTTCGCGATTTTCATTTGTATAGAAATTTATTGAGGAAAGAAACGAAATAATGAGTCGTAGCGCTAGGAAGTTGCAGGAAGTTACGGGCAATTAACTAGTAATGCATAACTATAGATGCATGCTATAGATTGTTAGGAAATTAGAAAGAAGCGAATTATATTACATAAGCCTAAGCCAAGATTTTCTTTGTGATAAATCTATTCATTGTTAGTTGATGCCCGTTTCTTCCAATATAGATTAACTTTAATTTTGAGTTTAGACTTTATCTTTTTCTAATTAGAACGGATATGATAGAATTTCTGGGGTGAAGAGAGATAGAGAGGGAGAGAATTTTCTATTTTCCGTGGCTAATTGGGAGAAACTTGTCGAATATACAATACTAGGAATAGAGTATATATCTATTTTTGTAGCTGTATTTTGTTTTTTCCTTTTGCACTTAAAATGAGATAGCTATATAATTAGAAAAAGGAAAGAAGAAAATATAAAAGAATTCAGATACAAAAAACAAATGTTATTCGATCTACAAGTTTTCTCTACGTTCTCTCTTACTGCTATTCTTTTATTTATTATAGCAGTACCTCATTTTCTCAATGTTTGATAATTTTTGAATTTTGATTACAAATATGTAGCATGTTGCTAAAGAATCTAGATATGCAAATAGGTAAGTACACGCATACACATATCCTTAAAGTAAAAGGAAAAAATTAGGTCTGTTTTTTATAACTGAATAGTGTACACTTTTGAAACTTCGTAAACCTTCAAATCTGTTCTTGTTGAACTTTTTGCATGGTTCATTTTTTCTTTTTTTTTTCTTTCAACATGAAAAGAAAAAATGAAAAACTTGAATGTAAGACTTAAGTAGTAAGGAAATTCACATGTTGGCTTCACAATTACTTCTACTGTGATTTGTCAATTCGCTTACTGCTTAAGTCTTAAGTTTTTCTATGTGCCACGGCTTTAACATTCACGTTTGATGAAAAATATAAAATCAGTATAATAAGTCTATAATATAAAAGTTAATAATATCAATATCTATAAAATTTCATTGATTTTTATCATTTTTGCAGATATTTAATTCTAAATTTAATTCTAAATTTATAGAATTTTACATTACAAGTTGAAGGTATAATTTTATTCTCTTTTAAATTGAGACTTTTGTATAAGGCAGCAATTTAAAAATCGTTATAATTATAAAGTAAACACTATAATTTGTTTTCGTAAAGTTTTGTTTAAACTAACCGTACAGTTTACAAAAAATTTATATTCTTCAATGAAAAAAAGCTAGAATATATTAATGTCAGATAAATGGATGATGCGTGTACATCAAATGAGCATCTTACAACTTTTATTTTGTCAGTTTGAAAATGTTTAATAACATATAAAATAACAATAATTATGCATAATGGCATAAGATATTGTTAGTAATCTTTTCATTTTATTATTTTAATTGTTTTACATATTATGAATAAATTGTCTATTGACTAGGAAGTAGCGCGAGAACCTTAAAAGTTCAGCTTAAAAGTACAGACCTTTGCATAAAATATAAGAAAATCAATTAATCAATCAGTCTTTTATTTTATAGAAATAGAAGAAATAAAAGACTTTGATTGGTTCATTTTCTTATGCTTTATGCATAAAGTTTAAAATTTGGAATATTTGATATTTGATGGAAAAGAAAAATCTGGCAGAAATAAAAAGACACCTTAATTTATTTATGCTTAGAGTAATCCGATATTTGCTTCTTTTTCTTTTTAAAGAATTAAGGTTTAATGATTTATTTTGTTTGCAAAAAGGGCATACGGTGACCGCTCTGATCGTTCTGATAGACGAGGAGGAGGAGGAGGTGGCGGTGGAGCACGTGGTGGTGGTGGTAGATTCGGCGGACGCGATGGAGGCGGAGGAGGCAATAGATTTGGCAGCAGCGGAAACAGAGACAGCAATTTTGGAAACAACAATTTTAAAAATCGGCAACCTGGGGAACGGTTACGTAAACCACGATGGGATATGAGCACTTTACCACAATTCAGAAAGGATTTCTACCAGCCACATCCTAACGTAATGGCACGGAGTATTCACGCTGTAGAGGCATATCGTTCCAATAAAGAGATCACTGTGAAGGGGGCTAACGTTCCAGGTCCCAATATTTATTTCGAAGAAGGTGGCTTCCCAGACTATGTCCTCAATGAGATTCGTAGACAAGGATTTGGTGAACCGACCGCGATCCAGGCACAAGGTTGGCCTATTGCCCTGTCCGGCCGAGATATGGTTGGTATAGCGCAAACGGGTTCTGGAAAGACTCTGGCATACATCTTGCCGGCGATCGTGCATATAAATCATCAACCTAGACTGAGCAGGAACGATGGGCCAATCGCATTAATCTTAGCGCCAACTCGAGAATTGGCACAACAAATTCAACAAGTAGCATCAGATTTTGGCATGTCTTCTCAGGTGCGAAACACATGTATCTTCGGTGGTGCTCCAAAAGGACCTCAGGCGCGTGACCTCGAGCGCGGCGTAGAGATTTGTATTGCTACGCCAGGACGTCTTATAGACTTTTTGGAACGCGGCACAACTAATCTACGTAGATGTACATATTTAGTACTTGATGAGGCCGATAGAATGCTCGATATGGGCTTCGAGCCTCAAATTAGGAAAATTGTAGAACAAATACGTCCCGACCGTCAGACTCTCATGTGGTCGGCGACGTGGCCAAAGGAAGTACGTAATCTCGCGGAAGAGTTCCTAACAGATTACATACAAATCAACATTGGTTCCCTGCAATTGGCTGCCAATCACAATATTCTGCAAATCGTTGATGTATGTGAGGAATATGAAAAGGAGAGTAAACTCATGAAATTGTTGGAAGAAATCTCAAATGAACCAGAAAATAAGACTATAATATTTGTCGAAACTAAAAGAAAAGTGGATGATATAACAAGAGCTATTAATAGATACGGATGGCAAGCGATTGGTATTCACGGAGACAAAAGCCAACAAGAAAGAGATTATGTATTAAATCGTGAGTGCTATTGTTATGATTTTCTAAATATACGAGAAGCAAATATTAACATTTTTATATAAATGTCTTGAAATTTTTTATTTTAAATTAACTTTATTTAAATACGTAAAGTTAGAAAACTTCTAATTATAAACATTTATACAGAAATTATAATATTAAATTCTTGTAATAATCTCGGTATTTTATATAATTCTTTTTATATTTGTTAAAACAAAATTTAGCTAAATACTGTTTTTTATATTTACTTGATTTATCTTTATTTACTTTTATACTACCTTTTGGGATTGTAATTTGTGATACAAGAGATATTGTTTTAGAGTTCCGGAATAGCAGATCTGCCATCCTTGTGGCTACTGATGTGGCGGCGAGAGGTTTAGGTAAGAATTTGCAGATATATAGGTATGATGTAAGGGTCAGGCTGCGATGGTTATTTCACATTTGTGAAAGTCGTGGTATTGTAATGTGGCAATAACGTGGGATAACGGCATGTGCCAGACTGATTGACATTACCTTCTTACCAGTGTGGCTGGAGATAATTTATTATTCTTAAGGAATTCCAGGAACGACTAGTTAAATATCCTATTTGATTTTGCCATTGACATCTTCAGTTTAATTAATTTTAATCGCTAATTCTTTCTTTTCGCCTACTAATTAATTGAGAGTTTCGGTGGTGCGCGTTATAGAGCGCACTAGAGCAATTAACATTGCCATTGTCTTTTCAGCGATATGATTAATGAAGGAATAAGTTTTAATTATTTTGTTAACTTCTTCTAAGTCTTCTTTTATCATAGGCATAGACTAGTGTACCATAGGTGGATTTTGGCGTTCTTTTAATATTTTCGCATTTTATTTTTGAACGGTAACACGTTAAATAGACTTTAAACGATATGATTGATAGAATAAATAATATAGAAAGAACGTCAAAATATTTCAGCTTTAAGAATAGGAAATCAGGTAAGCGATTTAGAGGCAGGTTTATCTCTTCCGATTTTGTACTCTCAGATCGAAACAAGTCCTGTCAGTCTGGTATTAACGTGCTGTTCTATGTGTTTTCAGAGGCACATGCGACTCTGGAGTCTTAGAACTCTGCAACTAGCTTTGGAAAATATAATTGAACGGGGCGTGACTGCTGGTCGCCGCCCCCTCGCAACAAGCTAACCAAACGCTGTGCCTCGGCCACCTTGCCACTCGAAAAACACTCTCACTCTGTACCTGCGACGGTCCAAAGTATGGAAATTGTAATGTTAGGGCGTTTAGCATAAGGACGAAAAAGAAAAAAACAAAATGGATAGATATATTATTATCGGTTATATATTCGTTGGATTGATAGTAAATTGCATCAAGTCGCGCTCTGCATTATTTGTGATATTATTTAAACGCCGCTTTTTATTTCATGTAAAAACTCGATATAAGTGGACAACTTTTAGAACATATTCTGAAATCTTTGCATAATATTTATATTATTTATGAATTTGATTTGTCGAAGACTTTCTGTAAGTTAGGGCGAACAAATGAGGAGTAGCGATAATTATTAATAATTATTGCATCAAAATAGGAAGGAGTCTTCACAATATTGCGGTGCGTAATTCTTGATGCTAATTATTTGATGGGGGAGTACATGTGGGGGTTGAGTGGAGAACGCAAGGTGCTCACTTGATGTTCCAACCTCTTCACCGAAGCAATGTACAAGGACCAAATTTCGAAATATCCAGCACAGATCCATACTTTGGTGCGGGAGAGAAGGGTGTAATGTTGACTAAGAATAAAAATGTAGAGCTCGCTAATACGTGAAGCGAGAATTCCATGAGAACCATCTGAGCTCTGATTCCTCTACATTTCCAAAAAATGTATTTACATTTCCAGCTCTAGTCGCAAACAGGTAATTACATGCAGACTTGCTCTTTGTGGTCAACTTGAATGTTATATACAAATTGCAAATGGAACTAAAGCTAGTTTATTGCACCTTGGAACAATATTTTTTATTAATTGATGTAACTTTTATGTTCTTGTCCGTCCTTCATGTTCAAAATATGTTTTAAAATGTCGGCCACGTAGCAGCAGCATTGTAAATGCTGTTTCAAAACTTGCTGCAGAATATTCAGTAACTTGAGAGCATTCTTTAATTCCATTAGCAAAGACAACGTCCTGGTAAAATGCTTGAATATATTCGCTTTATAAGTTAATTGAACCACAAAGGAACAAGTGTTTTCCGTGTGCTGTTATTATAACTTGATGTATCTCGCAGATGTCGAGGATGTCAAATTTGTGATAAACTTGGACTATCCGTCTAACTCTGAGGACTATGTGCACCGTATCGGACGTACGGGTCGTTCGCAGCGTACAGGAACTGCGTACGCTTTTTTCACGCCCGGCAATGCTCACAAGGCTGGTGACTTAATTCAAGTTTTAGAAGAGGCTAAGCAAGTTGTCAATCCGAAATTATATGATTTATCCCGAAATCCTGGCATTTATAAGAGTGAGTATTGTTCTTTTTTTTTTTTAATTACAATTGATAGATACTAAAATTTCACATCTACTTAAAATTTATGTTTAATTTTTATAAAAAAATTTTTTTTTTTAAATATTTTATTGCTAACTAGGGGGATTATTATTAATTAATAATTAGGAGGACGCTACGGTGGACGCAGTGGAGGTGGAGGCGGTGGACGAGGATCTGGAGGCCGTGGTGGTTCACGAGGATCTCGTGGAGGCCGTGATGCAGGAGATAGAGGAAGATTCGACCGCTCTTCCGGTACTGGTGCAAGTGATCGCAACAAATGGTCCGGAAGCAGTAGCGGTGGGTTCTCAGCCTTTAAAAAATTGATTGTATAATTTTGTTGAATCTGTCCGCTTGAAATGGAAAAAATGTTATTTGCATTATTCTAAATCAGTAAAAGATCAAGTCACCATACAATCAAGTCTCCGTGTTCTTAGCCCTTCTATTCTTTCCACTTCCCTAGTTTTTAAGATTCTTGATTATATTTACTGCTGCCATATTGTGACGTTCATAGCGTTAGATGGGTGAAATTATTGTGTTTTGTAAATGCTTGATGTACGCTTCACATAGGTGGCATAGGCGGGGCTAGCTATGGAAGCAGTAAATCGTTCCCTCAAAACAGCTTTGGAAGTGGAACTTCCGGCGGTGGCTCTGGTAGCTACAGCCAGAACAATAGTGGATATGGAAGCAGCTACAGGCAACAAAACGGCTATTGAACGAACGATCAAATGTGGGTATTACATAACCTAACAAAGAAAAGAGAAATTTTAGATCGATAGACTATCTAAATAAGAAAAAATTATAAGGGCAACATTTTCGTCTGGCTCTATATATCTTTCTCATTTGTAACAGAATACTCCCATTTGCGTCCCAGAGGGAATAATGGCAGACGATTGATTGAGCCGACGAGCCCAGAATTGCAGAGAATTGTTCCAAAAAAAATTACACATTCTCACGAACATTCGCCTCCTTTTCTTTTCCAGTACACGTCACTCTTCATTAGCTTTAAGTAATATTACAATATTATCAATTATGCAAAGTCAAGTATGTTATATTTAGGATAGGATCCTTAATATATTTAAGCGGTCAATTATCGCATTGCCGCCGAATGATATAGTATTACAATTCGATTGGCTTGCCGCTGTACATTCAATAAAATAGTGTAAGACTGACACTATAAAAAGCTAAAAACGTAATGTTGGTTTTAAGTGATTTTTCTTCGATAATATTTTTTTGACGCAGAGCGTATTTATTTTTTACTTTTACGTGCATATTTATTTCTATAATCTATTGATATCATAATAGCGATATAAATTTAATTTATGCTTGTATAATTGCAATTTATTTTGATTATAAATTTCAGAGATTCCTCTGTGTATTATAAATCATGAATATGTATAAATGTGTGTTTATGATCGGCATTCAATCAACGTCGATGCGACATTTTGACGAAGTTATATATAAGTTAGACGTCTTGAGTCACGAATGCCGTCACACAAACACGCGTATATATATGCTGATGTTAAATTTACTATGAAATATCCTATCTAAAGACGCCTGATAATTTCATTATTACATTATTGATAATAATTAATCTTTTAAAGTGCCGGGGAAGACCATTTGCTTCATTCATTGGTTATCGAGAATCATACGATCCAATTTGAAATTTGCTTTTTTACTCAAGTGAAAAATATTTACTCCAGCGAGGTTATCGTGCAACAATAAAACATTTGTTATGTCTATGATTATATCGCACATTTTTCCATAATGACCAAGCTTTCCAGCTTTCCAATTTAATTGCCCGCATCATCAGTGCGATATATGTTTTTATGGCGATGCTGTAAATCATCAGAATGTGTAGAATATCAAAGCTTCTTGTCGCGTAACAAAGTTCAATATTGCAAATAAGATAACATTCAGTTTATAAATAAATTTAAGATGACTAGAAAAGTAATAAAATTGCTCCTATATTTAATTTTATTTATACTTTGTTCGTTACGTTTCACATACTTTTGAAATTCTACAATGACTGAACTTTGTATTTTATATAATAAATCTTTGTGTCTGTTAGATTGTAATGTTAACAAACATATATCTGCTAGATTATAGTGATAACAAAAATGATAACAATGTCTTAACTTACAATGGATGCGTAGTAATTGTTATAAACACTAATCATGTGAATTTATTTCTATCTCTTCCTAATCTCTTTGTATTAGAACAAAGAAGTTTTTAACATTGTAACAATACACATAATCAAACAATAATAGGAAGAGATAAAGCATGATTGTGTACTATTCATAATCACATTTATATATATGTTTCTAATGTACAGAATGCTCGAAATTCGCAAATTAATATCACAGTAAGAAAGAAAAAGAGAATACTTTTATAACTTATTTTTTCGAGAACTCGCTATGATATTTTGATTCGCGAATTTCGAGACACTGTATATACACATCTAGTATTACAGAAAAATATGCCAAATCATCGTGTTCATCTAACACTAAGTCTAAAAGATATTTAAATGAAATTCAATTTTTTAATTGCAATTTTTAAGAGGTTACTAGATTACTATTAAAATAGTAGGTAACTATAATACTATATTTATATCGTTTATTTGTAGAATAATGAAAATTAAAACTTTAACTCGACAGACATTACAGCGATTACTGTACATTGATTTATTAAAATAATCGAATTATCTGTCATTTCAGAATTCCAAAATTAAAAATATTTTGTGTTGTCGAGTTAAGTTACTACTTCATTCTACGATTAATTCTTAAAATCCGAGATATAGCTTTTATAAAGACAAAGAACTTTTATAGAATAGAACATAAGAATGTATTTTCGCGCATATACTTAATGCGGAGAAATCAGGCGAAATCTATTAGAGATACGTCTTCGCATTCATCAATATAAATAATCTTCAACAATTATGCGGGCAACTCCATAACGAAACTTTGAAAATGCCGATATAAAAACCATTTATTTCTTCGAGAGACTTGAGAAAAAAAATTTAGAATTGTAAATCAATAAATAATAGTATTCGGTAATTTTTTTTTCTTTATATAAAATCACTTTTCAAAACTTAATCATGTAGACTTTTAATTCACAAGATAAGAATTGACGTTTGCGAAATTGATATTAGGAGAGATGTGCTTCAGTTATAAATTTTTCCACAAGGGCTGTGCTTCTCCTGGATCGAGTTACGTCAGTCCCTATTCGGCGATGACGTCAACTCGACGAGAATGAGATTTTAATTCTTGTGAATCACGGGACGCGGTGGGGTTTTAAAGCCCATCACTGAAACGTATTAGTTGTTCGCCTCGTATACTTCAACATGCTTCAACATGTTCCTACCATAGCTTCTTCTTATTCTAACGAGTGCGTTTAAGTGAGTAGGGAGCCTACGGTTGGAGTAAATAGGAGCATGTTGGAGCATGCGACGCGACAAACCTATTGCACAACGTATATATGAAACAACGCATGCGATCCGACTCACTTCGAGATTGTTCGAGTCTTCGGGATAGGTGGCGAGGTCTGACCGAGTCTGGCGATTACTCCAAGTTGTGCGCGCGCGTGGCCTCTCCCTCCGCCCTTTCGTCCCTCTCTATCCCTCTTTGATCAACCCACGGCGGACGTCACTCCGAGACCCGAGTTCGAGTCACTCCAGTTCGGCAGTCACGATAGTCGCGGTAGGAACTGTGAGAAGAGACAGTCAGTATTGTCAGTAGTGTCAGAAACTTAATCGTGTTCCGTCATGACGGAGGAAAACCGCAAGGAGGTCCGCGTCTGGTGCGATGGGTGGTAAGTGTGTGAGTTTTGTGGATTTTTTTGTCGTATCGAAGGGAATACACGTTGAATAGAATCATAAAGAAGCGACGCCGCTCAATGCGGCTGAATGCGGCGTCGCTCGTTGCCCAGCCGGTCGACGAGATATAATACGTGTCTTCTCGATGTGTCGCAACGCGCGGGATTACCGTTGCATCCTCGTCACGAGCTTCGTTAGGAACGCGATCAATCGATATTATTGCACGGTCATACGTGTCCAACCCTCACACTGGCGCGGCGGGTGTAAGTAAAATTACGAGGAAAGCGAGTTTCCTGAAATTAGCTTTCTCGATCTTCCTCGTTAGTAACTTTCACGCGATCACTAATTGCAAACGATTTAGCCTTAATTATTTACAGGTTTCTATAGAATCTTGTATAGAATTATGTTTTTATTTATATTTTTTTATAATTCTATTATTCAATTTATAAGGGTTTTATCGTGAAAAAGAGAAGAAACAAGAGCGCGTTCTCCAGTCTTTTTTCTAGCGAAGTAGATTAATCGAATGGGGAAATGTACAACTGGAAAAAATGTATTAAATATTAATAAATATCTGTTTGAATAATACAAATGAAATATTTACTACATGTAAATGTATGTTATTTATTTGATACAAGAATCATTAATTTGATTTCAAGTATCATTTTTGTTATTGAGTAAATATTTACTATAAGTATGTTTATTAGTATTATTAGTATTAGTTAAACAAATATTTATTAAAATTCAGCAAATCCAGTGCACGAGGAAGTCGAGTTCTTGAATTAATTTTCCAATTTTTATCGTTAACTCTCACTGCAAATGAAGGATTTTGTTCTTCTTAAGAGATTTCTACTTATAGGAATTATATTCTCATTTATATTTTATATTCTATTATTTATATTCTGGAATTTTATCACGAAAGAGAAGAGACAAGCGTGTTTTCTCGAAGTCTTCTAACGAAATAGATTAGTTGAATGAAGGAAATATGCGAGGAGGATGAATTCTTGAATTAGTTCCCTCGAGTTTTTCATTAATTTTTACGTGATCGCAAATGAAGGATTTATTCTTAAAGATATCTATCATAGGATATCTTATCATAGGAATTATATTCTTACTTATATTTTATAATAATCCTATTTACTTTATACACCTATTATTTATATAGGATTTATCAGGGTTTTATCGTACAAGAAGAGAAGCAAGTCCGTTTTCCTCTTATTTCTTAAGTAATAAAGGTCTCGTCCATTTCTCATATGATAAAGTCTTTTTTGTCTCCATTTCTACTAATTTAGATTAACTTTAATCTCGGTTTGATTTACTTTGTATCTTTATCTAAGAATTAGATAAAAGCAAGTAAAACCAAGATTGCAATTAATCTATATTTATAGATATGGACATATCTATAGATAGAAATGGACATAAATTTTCTAGTAAAATAAATCAAGTATAGTCAAGAAAGACAAATTTCTGAAGCGTTCTTCATATATTTAAACTTTCACGCACTGATTACAAACGATTGATTTTTATTATAAGATTTCTATTTGTTTAAGAAATATTTATATTTTATTATTTTATTTAATTGATATTTATATTATAGAGATTTTATTGGACAAGAAAAAAGGCAAGTGAATTCTTCAGTCTCACTATTTTTTAGTAGATTAATTTATTGATTAATTGAATGGAAATATACGGGAATATATGAGGAATATACTCGAGGAAGAGACAAGTTCTTGAATTAGAATTCTTCGATTTTCCTCTCGTTAAAACTTTCACGCGCTGATTGCAAACGATTGCGAACGAATGATTTATTTTTATTAAAAATGTCTACTCATCTTAGGCATTGCATTCTTACCTATACATATTCGTATATTCGTATATTTTATAATTTTATTATTTCATTTATATTAGAGAGAATTTATTATGAATAAAAAAAGGCATTTTCCAATCTCTGTTCTTTCTTACACGGAAAGAGCAATTTTATTGAAGAATCTAAAAATTTAGCTAGATATAGACTTGGAAATAATTTTGCTAGACCATCAAAATAATTAGATAGGACAACAAATTGATGGCTAGAATATAAAAACATTGCATCATGCTTAAGATTCCTACAAAATTATTTTGATGGTCCAACAAAATTATTTTCAGATCTGTAGCTAAAGCTACATTTTTAGATTCTTCGGCAGAATCGCTCTTAGTTAAATTAGTCGAATGGGGAAATATATATAACGTACTCCGAAATCGCACTTTACGCGTGATTGGCAATAGAGAATCGTCTCCGGTCGGAGCAATTCACTGTAACACAATTCGGAGTAGCGCAGCGCATGTCCTCGTTTAACGCTCTGATAAAATGGTACAGGGACAGGACGACCGATATATGATAGACCGGTTCGTCGAATTCAAGTCCTTGTTCACGGCCTCGAATCTCTTCATTCTTTTCCAATATACGATAACTTGTTTAAAATCTTGTATATTTCAGATAAATTATATCTCTGTTCATTAAATAATACTGCCGACAAACGAGTTGTTGGAATGATAATCGATTAGCGATAAGCGCCCATGAAATATGATCGTTATTTCGTATATAATATTCTACGATTCATTACAATTTTTTTTTTTACGATGTAAAGATCTTTAGAATATAAGACCTTGGTTATAACTTGCTCAATTTATGTTTATATTTTACATTATTATTACTCAATCAATATATATAACATATATATTGATCGTATATATTTTATGTTATTACATGTTTATATTTTACGTTATTGTGCATGTTAATCAAAATCAATATATATTAATGATGCAAAAATAAACTCGAAAATTGTAGCTTGTAATGAACATGCCGATTTAAATTTTATTCTGTTGAATATTTTAACACTAATTTTAATCTCTACATTTCTCTTTTTTATTTCGATATATTTTATTATTTATAAACCGAATTTTATTTACGACTTGCTTCTCAGAACTGTAACCACGCACATTTTTCTATGTAATTGTTTAATATTAATTTCGAACGCGATAGATATGTACACACAGATTCATATAATCAGTATGTATCGTCATGCGACTTGTATTCAGCGTTATCGCGACAGGCGCGATTAATATAATAGTTACCAAAGCATTTTATACTCGGGGTCTGTTAACGGACTGCTTCTCTCGAAATCTTTGTTGAATTATTAATATATTATGTATTTTTTCATTTTTAACATATCTAACCTTTAGACATTTTTATGCTAAAATGTAGTTTACTGTGCCCTAAGAAATATATTTTCTTTTCTTTTGCATTGTTTGCATAATTTGCAGATTTTAGTTCAATATTATTTAAACATGAAATACGAAGCACAAATAATTTATAGATTTATACAGCTATTATATTTATTGCTTTTGTTGACCTATTATTACTTATACAAATGAAAGTGATATTTAATCTTTTCTTTCACTCAAATAATTTGGACAATATTTATTAATTTGTAAAAAAATTTTTTATTTTTTATGTTATATTATGCTAAATGATTTTTTTTTAATAATTCTTTTGATGAAATAAATTTTATTGACATTTTTGTTAATGATATTCTTTATTTACGCAAATTAAATACACAATTGATTGCAGCTATGACATGGTGCATTTTGGACATGCAAATTCCTTGAGACAGGCGAAAGCTTTAGGCGATTATCTGGTGGTAGGTGTTCACAATGATGAAGAAATTACAAAACACAAAGGCCCTCCCGTCTTCACTGAGCAAGAAAGGTATATATCTATTGCTTCATTAAAGGAAATTATGTAAGTTATAATAATCACGATTTTGATTGTCATTCTAGAGTTGATTATTATGTGTCGATTTCATATTCCTTATATTATTTTCTTGAAACTCGTAATATTAATGGATACAAGTATTCTCTACTTCTTGTACAACATACTTTTTTTTTCTTATACCTTAGAAACGGTGGTTACATAATGAACGTTAATGTTTCGATTCTAACACATACACTTTAGTCATTACGTTAGAAAAAATGTTTATCCGAGAGAGAGAGAGAGAGAGAGAGAGAGAGAGAGAGAGAGAGAGAGAGAGAGAGAGAGAGA